CTATAGAATGATAAAGAAAGTCAGACAGTAGCTTCTCGGAATCATTCTTAAAATCCCAGAATACTGTAAGTAGGGAGCACGTTCCAACTTGAAAGAGGTCTGTTCAAAACCAAAATGAATAAAAGGCTACCTCACACATCAGGAAGCAAGTACTTAACCCAAGTGGAAGTCAAGTGTAAAAAGTTCCAGCGGGCTCAGAATGGCTTAGGGTGCCGAGGAAACACAGGTTGACCAGAAGAGAGTAAAGAAAGAAGCCTGGGCTGATACAGGGGCAGCGCCTGGGTCTTTGAAGATTCCTATCAGGATCACAGCCACAAACACTTCCTGCCTCTCCCTCATCTGCACCCTGGGCCCCTGGCAGGGGCAGAACATCAAAGCAGAGTGGCAAACCTCATGTCCCCTTCCTAATCTCTGGTAATGGCCATCCAGTCTGAACTTGAATACTTCTAGCAAGAGGAGGGGACACTCAACAACTCACAGGGCATCTTGTTCTATTGGGAAATTCTCGACTGCATTGAGCTGAAACCTGCCTCTCTGTCATTCCTCCTTGTTAGTTCTGGTCCTGTTCTCTGAAACATCTAGAACTACACCCCCTCCTGAGGCCCTGCCTCAGAACCTGAGTTGGGACAACTAACACCATATCCTGCCCTCTTCCCTGGTGCTCTCTAGGCTGTGGGAGTTACTTACATTGATTTGTGTGTAACCCTTCCTGGTTCCTCAGTTTCACCGTCCATATGAAGTTAGAACACGTTTGGTGATATTGACAAAATAAATGAAACATCATCATAGGTCTAAATAAACTCAAACTCTAGCGTTGTGAGTTTCACTTCAAAATAATAATGCTGTACTTTGATATAACACTTCTGAGAAATAATCCGGGATTATGTAAACTTTGGAGGGAAGTCCTGTGAAGATTTAAAAACGGGGAGATGGTTAACCCCTCATCTGAATGGAACCATTTTCTAGTTTCCTTCTCCACTCACTTTGCATGGGGAAGCATGAATTCCATAAGAAATATCAAGATTTTACCAATGGTTTCTAACTTTCTGAAACCCCCTCCCTCATTCCCCCATCAGCCTTTTGTCCCTTTTAGGAATCTCACGCGAATGTTTTCAAACCACTATCTGCTTTCAGATGTCTCTGGATAAGCCAAGCAGCCAGACCCCTTTGAGCCCACGTGGGCTGGTGTTTTCTGAAAGGGCTGTTACAGGTTGGGTTGAGTACAGGAATTGGGACAATGTGGATTCAGTCCCATCTTTCTCTCAGGCCCCTCCTATCTTGTTGGGCGGGGACAGGTCTGCTGTAACCAGGAGGCTGCTCCGTGCCGCCCTGACCTTGTGTGTGAGGGTGACTGGCAGACAGTTTTCTCACCCAGTGCCCTCACAAAGCCCTTGGGGCCTTAGCCCTTCTTCTCCCTTGGCCCCTGCAGGCTCAGCCTTCCTCCCCTGGGTGCCGGTCCCCTCACAGAGGCTTCAGCTCACCTCAGCAGGCAAAGACTGTGCGGTGCACAGCCGCTCATTAAAGCAGAACCCTGTGCTCCTGCTGCAGCCTCTGTCCTCACCCTTAGATATCTACTGTTAGGTGCTAGCAAGAAGCTGTCATGGGTGAGAAATATATAGAAAAAAGAAGTAGTTTCTCTGCTTCTCTTAGTCCTGTCTTTCTTTACTTACTTCCTCTTTACTCTCCCCTTTTTCTATCTTTTATCCCTCAGTGTTGACAAAGAGAGTTGCTAGGCACTCAATGTTTGCATCCTGCCCAGACGCAGATGTTGAAGCCCTAATCCCTAAGGTAATGGTATTTGGAGGTGGGGCCTTTAGATGGCAGTTAGGCTGAGATGAACTTGTGACAGTGGAGCCCCCATCATGGGATTAGTGTCCTTATAAGAAAAGGATGAGACATCAGAGTCCTCTCTTTCTCTCAGAGAGAGGAGACAGATGAGGACACAGCAGGAAGATATACACATCTCTCTCTCTCTCTCTCTCTCTATATATATATATATATAGGCACTGAATATATATATATATTTTCTCTCTTTATATAGGCACTGTGTGTGTCTGTATGTGTGTGTGTGTGTGTGTGTGTGTATGAGAGAGAGAGAGAGAGAGAGAGAGAGAGAGAGAGAGAGATCTTGGACTTGACCTTGGACTTCCAGTCCCTAGAATTGTGAGAAATAAATTTCTGCTGTTTAGGACACCCAGTCTATAGTATTTTGTTATAGCAGCCTGAGCTAACTAAGACACAAGTTTTTTCTTTTTTTAAAGAAATCTTTAAAGCCCAAGTTACTTTCATTTTTCCAGCAAATAGGTAGTTACTCAGTAGTAAACAGTCATATAGGAGGAAATGTGGAAATGAGAGATGGGGTCTGCTAAAGGCATATATCTATTTAAAAATTTTCAACAAAACCTACATTAAGCACTTATTAAAGTTCAAGTCCTATACTAAGCACATAGCACCATACCTCATTTAACTGTGCCGACAAATCTATGAGATAAGCCCTCTTATGATCACCATCTTATAGATGAAGAACTTGAGGCTCAAAAAGATTAGGTAATTTTCCAAAAGTCACATAGTAAATGACAGATTCAGTCATCTGTGTGATTTCACTATAGCAACGACAAACATTTATACAATAGGTTTTCTGGGCAAGGCCCGAGTTACTCTCCTGATAGAGACAAAGAAGTAGGTGATGTGATCCTTGACTTTACACAACAACCAATCTACTTGTGGGTGACGAGACATGAACACAAGAAAAATTGTCATCATTGGGGTTCAAGTAATTCCCAAAGAGAAATATCAGTTATGTTATAGGTAGTGCCGGAAGCTTTGCGGAAGTGGTAGGATCTGAATTGGGCCTTAACAGGACTGAGCTGGGGGAGAGGACTGTATATATGTGGACTGACTCTGCAGAGTTCTAGTGAAATCTCAGATTTGATGGAAGAATTGTTTCTACTAAGCAATTTCAGAAAGTACGAGAAACCAGCCCTACACATTTATCTCCAAAGCTGATGACAAAGACAGCTAGTTCTTTGGGTCAGGTGAGCAGTTGATGATTCTGGGAAGCTCGCCTCACTGTTCCCCATCATACACACCACTGTGTTTAGAGACCCCTCTTCTCAGCCAGCATAGCTTCTGGCCACACTTCAATCTGAGTACTTTTTATATTGCCATAA